CCTTTATTTATTTATCAGCACAATTGCAACACAAATGTAACAAGGCAACATTAAAAAAAATGGCTTTCTGCCTGGTGAGCTCCCAGAGTGAGCCGATAGACAGAAAAGGGAAGCAGCATGCTCCCTCCCATATCTGGGCATACCAGGGGTTGTGACACAATACATACTGCATACGACTTAACATTTAGCAACGCGGGAAGTTTACCTGTTTGAAGTTGCCTCCGAGGAAACACCTGGGATTTCTGGAACGGGACGATGCCGAAGCATAAAAGACCGCGTTGGCCTGGCGCATACTTTTGATGGACTTTGGGTGCAGTACAGATCATTTTCCACCATTTGACCTTTGAACTCAAAGAACGGCGTCTCCTGCAGATCATCGGGCAAACTTCCCAACCCTGATAAGAGCGGAGGTTCCACCTCGCTGGTTTCCTTTTCAGCGAGAGAGAAAGCAGAAGACAGAGGTCCATCTTTGGGAGTGGCATTAAGTTGAACCTCCAAATTTTCCCCTTTCTTCAGAGAACCATCACCCGTGCAAGGTTTCTTCTCCGGCGTCAAGTTTTTCACCGGGTTTCGTGGCACCGCAGCGGGATCTGCCAACAGGTTTGGACCAAACGTGTCAGAAGAGTCCGGATCCCAAACTGGACTAGCTCTGTGAGTTGTGTAGTGTGGATGTCTTTCAAGGTTACTGATGCAAGATGCATGGGACTGTCCATCAGATGGCCCGCCACCTGTTTCCTTCTGTTTGGGATCGAGGGGATGCTTGGGAGAGCAGCTTTGACCGGAGGTAGACGCTTCCGGCATTTTGGTAAACGCGACCTCCAAGTGTTTGAGGATTCGTCTACGGTGGCCCGTTGGCGATATTCCCATGTGTTGAAGGACACTGTCATTTATTCCCACGCACTCTTGCAGAGTGTGGTAGCCAAATTCCCTAAAGTTGAAAAGGTACTGTCCCAGGTTGATGCGGATTAAAAAGGCTCCAATATCTGGGTCAGCCTCCCTGGATGACATAATGGCAATTTCATGGGTAGGCTTGGCCATCAGAATCCCGAAGAGACATGATTCCACGGGGTCATGTTGAAAAGCCGGACAAAATTCTTCTCCTGTACCGATTGAGATGTCCTCCACAATCCTACAATACAAAGGGAAAGAGGACAATACATTAAAATTGTTTGCAATATTCCAGAGTCAACATTTGTTGCTCATACTCAGAAAGAACCCAAGTCCTTTGGTGAGGTTTATTGACAAGGACAATACTGTCAAGCAAACAAATATTTGGTCTTTCACCTCCCGCTGGAAGATGCTCCTTACAAATGACAGCAGTCTTCCAATATGTCAGGGGTTGCCACAAAGAAGAGGGGATGGAACTATTTTCCAAAGCCCCAGAAGGGAAGACAAGGACCAATGGATGGAAACTAAGCAAGGAGAGAAGCAACCTAGAACGAAGGAGAAATTTCCTAATGGTGAGAGCAATTAACAAACGGAGTAGCTTGCCTTCAGAGGTTGTGGGTGCTCCATCACCGGAGGCTTTCAAAGAGAGACTGGACAACTATTTGTCTAAAATGGTATAGGATCTCCTGTTCAAGCACTGAGTTGGACTAGAAAGCCTTTGAGGTCTTTCTTTTCTTTTCCTTTCCATTCTTCATTCCTCTATTCCATTCCACTCTTCTTTCTATTCTATTCTATTCTAATCTATTCTAAAATATTCTATTCTATTCTACATCCCATTCTAATTCTGTATTCTGTATTCTATTTTCTATATTCTATTCTATTCTTCATTCTATTTTATTCTAATTCTATATTCTATTCTATTCTT